AATTAACAGATTAGATAATTATCAAAAATCATCTAAATGTTTATTATTGATAATTAACAAATTAGACAATTATTAAAAAACATCTAAATGTTTATTATTGATAATTAACAATATCAAAAAATATTAACATGTCAAATAATGAATTATTTAAAAAATATATTTATTAACAAAATATTCATTTTCGCAATTATTTCTTAATATAATATGTACTATCATATCTACTGAATCTAGATACACATATGTATATTGATCAATCATTTGTAATCTTAAATATTCATACACTTTATTTATTTTGTCATACCATCTTAATAAAATAAGATTTATTAGTGGTTTTAAATTCTCTGTAAAAAATTCTAATAATAAAGTGCCTAAAAATTAAATTGATAATGAAAGTTATATAATTTACAATGAAAAAATTATATTTTATAATAAAAAAATTAAAATATACCTTTCTATACCACATAGTTTCTTCATTAGAAGAAATTACAATGTCGCTAAACCATTCATTACCATAATAACTTCCTGATGTTTGAATTATATCTGTTGATTCAACATATGCACTTGAACATATCTTAAAATATGCTGAATTTTTATCACAGATTATTTCGTTTACAGTTAAAAACTCTTCCAACCTTACATGAAAATTTTCAAAACCTTCTTTATACAAGGAATTGATGTTGTTATCCTGCATTATTTGAAAAACCTTTGAATCAAGTTTGCTAAATTTAAACTTCCATAATAGTTTATTAAATCTGCTAGATTTTCTCATTTTAGGCAACTTTTGTTTAAAGACTACATATTGACGTCGTACCTATTAAAAAATATATGCATATTAATTATACATGAAGTCAAAATGGTCAAAATCATCTCGATCATTAAAGGCTAAAGTCGCGAAATAGTCGAAATGACATCATATCACATGATTTTTCATATTGAAAAAAAAAATAAACAAAAAATATACAATCTCGGTCAATATCACTTCGATTCATATAAAACAACTACCATTCAATTCCTTACGACTTGACGGATCCAATGAGCTAACATTCATTGATTTTTGATCATCCAATCGCGAGATAAACGCAATTGTATTATCAACTGAAATTATGAATCAATAAATTCTACTTTAAATAAAGGAGTCCGAATTTCGAAATACAATTGCGAATATCTCGAGATGGGCTGATCAAAAATCAATAAATGTTAGCTCATTGGATTCATCTAGTTGCGGAAAATCGAATAAAGTTGTTTCATACAAATCGGTGCGATATTGACTGAGATCTTACATCTTTTGTTTTTTTTGTTTTTTTCTATATATAAAAAATCAAGTGATATGACGTAATTTCGACTATTTTGACTTTTCATTTCGACTTTTGGGTTTTCATTTCGACTTCATGTATAATATTAATGTTAATATATTGAGTTGTATTGTTATTATAAAATAAATGCATTGATATATACTGTATTAAGCATTTGTATAACATATTTTTTTTGTTGGTTATCCTATAAGGGTTTTAACATTACTTTTATACAATGTTTCATATGCTTCTGTTAACATTCCATTCATTGAGCCATAAAGACGAATAGATGAAATTACATGATAACGAAGTATATGAAGTTTTGGTATCTTGCAATTACTTTGAGAATACAGTCAAACCTTGATATAGCGAACTCTTGATATAGCGAATTTTTAAATCAAATATATTAAAATTACCTTATTATAGTGAACTAGCCAATTAAATTCTTTAAAAAATTCGTTATAAGCTTATAACGAAGTTGATATCCAGATCCTAGAATTCGTTATATCAAGAGTTCACTGTAATCAGAAAATATAATTACAAATTCCTGACAGAATTCAGTTATTAATGTTTATTGATAAGAATAATTATAAATAAATTAATTTTAAATTTTAGTTTTAAAATTAATTATTGATACTTACCTCCAATTCTATTAAGTCTGTATCAATGAATAATTGCTGACATAACTTATATACATTTTTAGATATTTGGGAGGTGGTCAGTAGAAAAGGGGAAATCTGAAAGTTTTAGTAATTTTAGTTACTAAGCTAATTTTGTTCACATGACTGTGATCTGTAAAATGAACTAATTAAAAAAATTTTGACCAAAATTTGGATTTCCCCCTTTTTTACTGACCACCTCCCATTTATAAAAAACATTATATAATTTTTCACATGTTATTCTACCCTCATTATAATTATTGTATAAATTATCTATAACAAATATTATCACTTTTATAATATTACGATAATTGTTTGCAGTAAATTTGAAGATATTCTCCAATCCATTTTTTAAAATTATTAATCCTGAATAACATGAAATTGCATAAAGTTGATGATTTATCTCTTTGACAGCTTTATTACTTACTATTCGATGTAAATATTCATGAGTATACTCAAGAAAATATTTAGTTATTCCTAGATTAAGCATATGCATGCGATCTGAAACTGTTGCTGAATAAATATTAAAATCTTCGAATTTTCAAAAAAATTGAATTCCTCATGAATAGAAAATTCTTATACCCAATTCATGTTAATCATATCTCTCATTTGTTGCAGATTTTGTAAATAAACATTTGATAATGCCATATTGTTAAGATTTTTATTTTCTATTAAACAATAGCTACAAGGTCATTAAGAAGTTGATGGAGATATATTAAATTAAAAGCTCCAGCTTCTACCATATCTGCAAGGATAAATAATATCTTTGGTGTAAATACGTATATTTTATTTTTTACAACAAAATACATATCACTTTAATTTAATATCGGTGATAATAATATATGCAAACATCTTTGGAACACCTGTCTCTGTAATTTTTGAAATACTTTAGAATTCTTAGTTGTATTGTTCTTAGCTTTCAATTTCAGCAAATAACCAACAAGTACTTTAGCATGAGGCTTATTTCATAACCAATTTGGAATATTTTCAAGTGAAATATAAATCAGATGTTCTGTTTTACCTAGATGATTGCATATAGTTGCATCAGCATAGATAATAATCGAAAGCAAATTATTATCAATTGAAATCTTTTTTTCCGTCATATGTTACCAATTGCTTTTATATTATTCATCATAAGTTTTAACAGAAGTATTACCCTGATATTGAAAAACAAATTCTTCATTAATATCAGGTTGTAAAAGTAGAATCTTAATTCCGTTAATTATTGGTTAATAATGAAATTCATAATTAACATCTTCAAATTTGGTAATGGAAACTTTTTTAAATTTCATATAAGGAAAATTGCTATTATTAAGGAATTTTTATCCTTCTTTGGTAGTTTTTGGAAATAAATTTTTATCGACAATCTTGATAAAGTTAAATAGTTTGATTAACCTATCACCACATGATTTGGCAATTGATATTCAGTGATGATTTCCATAAATTCACGATAAGTATTATTTGGCTATTCTGTAGTTAGCGAATGTATCTTGTCATTTAAGACATCATCTAACGTGATTCTACGATAATCTTCAAAATCAATATTTAACAGAAATGTTAAATTAACATTAGCAGTATTCTTATCAGTTTCACTATCATCATCACTTTTATCATTTTCTTCATTGGTTTCTTGAGAATTTATATTAATGTCATTCATCTCTTTATCAGTTTCTTGGGAATCAGCTGGTTCTAGTAAGTCTAATTCACTAGTTTCATCATTCTGTTTATAGTTGTTTATTAAGATTAGTTCTTAATAATTATTTTTCATTATGATAATCATCGACATTATATTATTATTACCTCTTGAGTTGGTGTTTCTGCTTCATAATCATCACCCAAAGATCAGATTCTTGAATTGGTATTTCTTCGTCTGTATTATCCAAAAAACCAGATTCTTCTTAAATTGGTGTTTCTTTAATTCATCATCCCAAAGACCAGGTTCTTCTACTATATTCATCTGAAATGTTTCTTTTTTTTCATTGAGATTATATTGATGTTTATTAGAGATATATCTTTATAATATGTAAGGGGTTGCAAATGTTTGTGAACAATTTGGATACTCATAAGTCATAGTTTGATTTCAATTAATATAACGAAAGTGGATTTGGGATAAATTTAAATATATCGAAAGTCATAGTTAGAAATTTTAAAGTTCAGTTGTTATTTTTAGCTACAGAGAAATTTTTAACGTTTTATTTAATTATAGTGATATTTGATATACATCATAGAAAAAGTGATGCAATTAATTAAAATTATTTTAAGTAATAATGATGATTACTAATTAATTGTTAATTTAGTCAAACAATTTTATAAACAATGGTAAGAAATTTTCAAGAACAATTATAGTGATTTTGATATATATCACTCACAGAACATCATAGAAAAAAAAGCAAAACAATTAATTATTTTAAGTAATGCTTAAGTAATGTAAGTATAAAATTATACTTCACATTCAATTAAACTTTTTTTTATTTTTTTATTTTTCTCACGTTTGCTCTTTTTTTTTCTTTCTTAAAAAATTCCAAAAAGAAAGTCTCATAATACAAGATCCACTGCTCAAGCCAGAAATAAAAAAAATAATAAAAATGATGAATTTCAAGATGATGACAATACAAATCAGAAAAGTCTAAAAAAAACATTAAACAAAATTTTAATAAAAAAAATAAAAATGAAATGTCAAGAACCGATGAAGAATTAAATAATAATTATGTAGTCACACAAGGAAGTTCTACTGTCAGTAATCCAGAAGGTAATAATCATAATAATTCAGATATAGATAAAAGACAACATATAGCTGTCAAACAAATTAAATTGAAATATGTTTTCACAATGATAATTACTGATAAAATTAATTTCATTCCAGATGTTGAACAACACGTTAGTAAATCAACGACATGAACAATATTTTGAACATCAACAATCAATAGTAGCTAGTGAACGAGATACTACGATTCTATGCTATGATGAAATCTTAAATTACTCTCAAGAAAAAGTATTGTATAATTGGATGATAATTACTATAATAAATGATTCGAAAATATGTTTAAAAAACAGTCAAAACAGCTTTGTGTATTTTATGAAATGCATAAAGCAACCAATGACAGACTTGTATAGATCTAAAACCAAATGAATAAACAAATCGAAAATAAAAACAAAGAATTAAGTGATAAGGTTTTTAACGTAAATAATTTTATTTTTAAGTAATTTCATATCACATTTAAATACCTATCAATAATCATTAATATTTTTAATTACATATCACATAAATTATGCATAGGATGGATATAGTAGTATATGTCAAGGGTTTTTTTCTGAAAAGATGTGACCTAAATTTGAAGAGTTTAAAAATTCATTTGAGAATTGGCTTAAAACACATCACTTGGAATATTTTAATGATTTATTAGCAAGAGAATGGGCGAATGCCTTCTCAAGAAAACATCACACTGTAGTGATTATTAATAATTATTTGAAATGTATATTAAATTTACATAATTTTAATTAATAATTTTTATTTACATTAGGAAATTTTTAAGGGCAATGTATAGTGTTGAACATCGTCCCTGTTTTTCATCACCAAAAAAGTGATGATCATTGAACCCTATGCAAACAATCAGCATTAAAATTCGCATTGATTAATACATTATAAATGATAATTAACACAAAAAAATTCTTTACAGAAACCCTTAAAATTCTAACGATATCGATTCGATATCGCAATAATATCGTTAAGATATTATCGATTCGATGTCGATACGATATGGTTACGATATGGTTACGATATGGTTAACGATATCGAATCGAGGTCG